CAGGGGCGGAGGCCGCGCTGAACGTGGTGCTGCAGTCTGTGCAGAAGCACATTGACGGAGGGGAAAAAGAAGAAAACGAAGGCAAAGAGGACCCCAGACCAAAAAAAAAAAACCGGGAGCCGCCTCGCAGTCCAATAGGGAAAGGAGCAGAATCCACCAGCCAGGGCTTCTGTCCTTGATCACGCTGATGAAGGTCCGCCCAACTGAGTTTTGTTCATGAAGAGAACGACGGTAGTTGGAAAATGTCAACAATCTCATCAGCGCAATAGAACCTACAAGGCGCCCCGAGCCGAAGCCATCCCAAAACCAGCCAATCCCAAACCCCTTCGACGAAAGGACTCCGATTGAAAAAGAGCGTGATGAGCAATCCAAAAGAGAACATCGTATCCGTCAAGCTCCGGCCCGGCCGCATGTGTAGACCGGGGCAACAAGCCGAAAACTGAATTTAATCAAGTGGAACAGTGCAGCATCTGTCCTTGCGTCCTCACAGAGGAGACAGCAAGAAGGTAAACATGCAAAACCAGAACGGAACCATTCACAGGGTAGCAATTATGCTCCGAAGAGCAACAGCAGATTTGTACCCCCGTGACATCACCTGATCGCAGAAAGATGTGGAGGAATTTGGTCACGAGCGTGTGAATCAGCTGTACATAGTCCAGAACTCGTGCTTCTCTCAGGGAATAGAAGAGGCCTCAACCCTAAACCTTAAACTCTTTTAGAGCCTTCTACCATCCTATATATATATATAATCTAACATGCAATATATAATATACTATCTCAGGAAACAGAAGCCCCGCCCTTCTCACCTCGGCCCAGGGCTCGAGGCCGCGCGGCTCCCGGCCAAAGCGTGCGAGCTCCCGCTTGACCCAGCGCCTGCTTGGAGAGGGTTAAGGGTTTAGGGTTTTAGGGTTTAGGGTTTTAGGGTTTTAGGGTTTTAGGGTTTTAGGGTTTTAGGGTTTAGGGTTTAGGGTAGAAAGCGAAAGGTATTGGTCCCGAAAGGTGTCAGGGTTGATGGTGAACTGTAGGGCCAAGGGTTGTCCGAGCAGCTGCTGATTCGGGATCGCCGGCCGTGCATGCAACTGTGGAAGCTTTCCGGATGTTGGGGGCTTGTGTGTTCAGAGTTTAGGATTTCTGAGATAGTTGCATGCTCAAGCTTGCCGTCCTTCTTATCAGATGAGCTTGAATTCTCATAGGGAAGCTAAGCTTCTTCGTTTTAGATTCAAAGGAAAGCCGAATGCCTTCCTTACATTACTCCATGGCCCCGAGCAAGTTTAGCTTGCGGAGAGCATCCTTGGATAATATGTGGTCGCTAGTACTGAGAACAAGGCTTTGGGCCATAGCCTAAGCATACTTCAATTTTACTGAGGAACCCGAAGGAACAATGTCGGTAGTTCTGCCCCTAAAATATAGGACACGAGTTTAGTAGTGATGCTCTAGCGCCTAGACTCTAGGCAAGCCCAAACTCCAAAACCTCCAACCAGTGCTGGGGCCTCAATACTTGGAATAGGGGTTCGAGTTCTATAATGCCTTAATTCTTTGGGGACAATAAGGACACTCTAGTCTATTTATTCAGGATTCAGGGCCCCCTTACTAGCCCGTGATTTGCTGCATGCCTCAAACAGCGGAAAACGCGAGCAGCAGCCACTATCTTGATCGCGTGTGGGCATGATCTCCAAGACCTCGCCGAGAGACCGACACCCCCAACTGATGTGTTTTGGTACAGTGCGCCCTGGTTCCGTGTGAAGGATTCTGGGTTCTGCTGGAAAAAGCAGAAGCTCGTTGTCTTCAGCATCAGGAAACTTTGCAGCATCTCACTGTCCGGCCTTTTTGGATGGACTTTGTTTCTGGGGAGACATGACATCATTGGCACTCATGTCAAACTACAGCTCTCTGTGGAGACTGCGAGGCCTTAGATTGTTTGAGCCTGAAGGAACCTTTGTCACATCCTGCAAACCTCTCATCCCGCTGATCCTACATGGGAAGGTGGCCGGAGGCCAAGCTCGACTCCGTGGATTCGGATTTTAGCCATGCCCACATGTCACTGAACGAGGATGCCCAAGCTCCGTGCACTCCCTGCAGTGCATTGAAAAAGAGGCGATGCTGGAAGTTGGGTGCCTGCAGTTTGTGGGCCGGTCGATATAAAGCAGCTTTTATGGAGACGATGCATCGCCCTGTCCGTCTCATCGTAATTACCATGGCCATCAGAATTATATTGGAAACATTTCCAGTCGCATAATCTTTATCATTATCATGATCACGAGGTTTATTACACAATACCAGCATCATGCAATGCTTATTACGTAGCATCTTGATTACTGTCATGATTGCTGTGACTACTATCGGCAGTATAATCATGATTGTTTGCAATACTGTCATCTTCATTATTGTCTGTGCTATTGCTACTATCAGTAGTGCTACTACTATTGCTCTCGTCATTGCTGTTCTTGTTACTACGGTTGATGATATAATATAAATCCTGCATTACCCATAATAAGGAATACACCATAATTTCCATAGTTTAGGGTCCTTATAAGGTACTTCAGGATTTATATATCATGAACAGTATCATTGTTACAGTCGCCATGACAGCCCTGATATGCTTGGCTCGGGCCACTGCTGCCATCCGCAGACAGAAATCGCGCACGAAGTCTCGCACGTTGTCCGGCTGTGCCTGCAGAAGCTATTGGGGGACGACAAGAATAGAATCCCTCTGCAGGTTCCTTCATGGATTCTACAGGGGTTTATTGGGGCCGGGGGATACTTTACGATCTATATGGGGACTATCGTTGCCAGAAGCCATTATCTCTCTGAGCGATTGAGGAGTCCCTCTGTCGGACACAGCCATGTGCAGGTGCAAAGCTCTGCACTCTCTCTCCCTCTCCTCGATTCCGTCCTCCCAATCTTCCGTTTTCTGCAGGAACACATGTTGGGTTGCGAAAGTGCCGGTGTCGACGACGCTTTCTTAGTACGAGTAGGCGAAGGGCGATAAACACTGTCAGCTGACGATTGACGAACTTGTCCAGGCATCATTTGGCATCTCCTTCTCCACATGTACACATATGCATATATATATATATGTATATATGTCGATATACATACATACTCACTGTCACAACACGTAGCGAAGGAGATCCACAGCATCATGCTAAGAGTACATGCAGACAAACGTTCATGTGTTCATATGCCAACCCATGTGTGTATATATATATATACACACATGTAATATGTACATTGCATTACATACATTACATACATACGTGTGTGTGTGATAGATACATAAACACACATACCTTCGTGTATGTATATATATGTATATATGTATGTACACAAATACAAACGAATACACGAATAAAACACCTAGTCAATAACTATATATGAATATGTACACATAAATGTGCGTATATATATATATACATATGTACATATACATATACATACAGTATATGTAGATTATATATCTGTATATATGACAGCATTTGCACGCACCCACAGCTACACGCACGCGCACACACACACAGAGACACACAGACACACAGACATACAGACACGCAAACACACACGCGCACACACACACACACACCCGCACACACACACACACACGCACACACACCCGCACACACACACACACACCCGCACACACACACACACACCACAGATGCATGCGGACATCGCAGATATCGCGGCAAAGCAGAGCCTTCTTCAGCTCAGCCTGGAGCTTGAAGTCCAAGAGCTCGGCAAGGTGAGCGCGCCTAAAACGGGCGAATCACTTTTCAAAGGTGGTAGGGTTAGACTTGCGGTTTAGAATTCAGGCTAGGGATGGGGTGTTTAGGATATGGGCTGTGTCAACTACTCTTCTGGAGTCCTTGTGTAAGTAAACTCCCATCATCTGGTTCAAAAGCCAAGCTCTTGAACAAATCTACGTGTAGCCCGATGCGTAGGGATGAGTGGGGTCTCCAATTCAAAGCTCGGGGGGCATGGCATCATCCAGACTGCTGAGGCTGCATCTTGAGCTCCTCCTCCAGCTTATGAGGGTCGGCCACCTATCGTTGGACACGAGAGCTTCACTCCAAGATGTCAGAGAAAAGACAGCTAACTGCGACATTGAAGGCCCCGAGCTTAACATCTCAACTTTCTGCCGAACGTCTCCCGGCCTGTTCCAGCGGCGTGGAAACAACCCGCGTCCTTAGCTGACGGCACAGGGCTTTTGCGGTGCCCGTGTGACCAACGCATTGTGACCACGATGCCCTGGCCAATTTTCGGCTCTGTAATTGAATCTCACCCAAACATGAGCTGCCGTTGTCATGTGCGATGATGCGCGAAGATGTCCAAGAGGGAAAACATATGCACACGGACAAATCCCGTGATGCCTGCACCTGGCTGTATCCGAAGACCATTACGGCTTACAACTCTCTTTCGCCAAATTGCAACTCCCTGCAAACTAAACACTGAACACCAAACCTAAAGTCCTAAAGCAGCCCAAAATGGCCCAAAATCCTGAACTGCTTTGCAGCTCTGGGGCAGCACGATGGGCGGGGTTCGCTGCTCGGAGGCCTCAGGACGACACAAAGATGGCCACAGCGCACAAAATATGCAACAATGGGAAAAGAGTTCAATTGAACACTCACACTGCCAGACATTATGTAGATATGGTTGTGCATCTTTAGATGTATGCATCGATGATGTACGTATGTACGTATGTACGTACCTATAACATCCTATAACTACATATGTACGCACGCATGCATGCAAGCATGGATGCATGTGTTTGTGCATGTGCAGAATACAATATGATACACATGTTCTGAGCATTGGCATCCCCCAGCCCCACATGCAGAACAAAATAAACAACGGCACATTCAATATCAGTTTCTTCGAACTTGTTGGCTTCTACTCTGTAGAAGCAGCCGAAACTGAAATGCTAGTCATCAATGACTGGCAGCCGGAGAAACAAGAGAAACAACTAGTAGTTAGCACCACTACCATCGGCACAAGGCTCCGGCCGCCCGGGAGAGCGCCGGCATGGGCATGGAGGGCACCGGAGGACCTGGACCACCAGGTTGGGAGATGCCACGCGCGAGCCTGCACAGGCAAGGGGAAAGCAGGGAGACTTTCACATGGCCAGGGTCTAGGCCTAGACTACAGGGTTGGGCTCTGGGGTTTAGACTTGAGATTTGAGGTTTGGTTTGATCAACATTGGATAGGGTTCAGGTCAATGGGACACCGGCTTTTGCTCTTGCAAATGTCAGCCCCCTAGAGAAGGGTGCGCGAACTTCAGCCGGCCTGGTAGTTGCGAGATTAGGATACTCTATCGGGCCCAGCGGACAGCCAACGACCCTAGCTCCCCACACCCTATGGGCCCTATGGCTTAGCTCTGTAGGACTTCAGGCTTTCCTAGAGTGCTCGATAGGGGCGAGGACATGAGAGCTCAGTTCCGAGACCACCAAGCCAAATCGACAAAGCACAACAGCCGAAAGTCTCCACCCAATCCTTCAAATCACAGCACTGTTGATGATCATAGCAGCAGTAACAACAACAGCAGCAGCAGCAGCAGCAGCAAACAGCGACGACGACGACGACGACGACGACAACAACCACAACAACAACAACAACAAGAAGAACAATTACAATGACAAGAAAAATAACAATAACAATAACAACAATAAATAAGAAGAAGAACAAGAAGCAGAACCAGAACCCGAACCAGAACCGCAAACAGAACCGGAAACGAACCAGAACCAGAACCACCCCAGAACCACCAGAACCACCAACACCACCACCGCCACCGCCACCGCCACCGCCACCGCCACCACCGCCACCACCACCACCGCCACCGCCACCACAACCACCACCACCACAACAAGCACAACAAGCACAACAACCACCACAACCACCACAACCACAACAACAACCACAACAACACCAAAACCAACACCAAAACCAACACCAACATCAACACCAGCAACACTAACAACACCAACAACACCAGCAACACCAACAACACCAACAACAGCAGCAACAGTAAATGCAACAGTCATACCGGGCAGCACCTATGCCAGGAGCAAGCCTTGTCAAGATAACACAATCATCTCTGTAACTATGGTATGCGATAGCTATAGATATAGAAACAAGGCAATGCAATATGCTCCTGTAGGAGACAACAAATCAAGACCAGCAACACACATGCGATCAATCCCTGGCGGGACCTGGGCGGCTCTGGAACGGCCTCAGGCCCGTTCACTAAAATTGCAGTTGCGGCTTGGAGTTGAGGGATCTCTAGAAACTTCGTTAAGGATTCCTCCCAAGAAAACCGAACAGTCGGAGGAGTCTGACGCTTCGCGGGCCATGAAACCCAGGCCACAAGTCTCAGTGTCCACCTGGAGGAGCTCAACTCACTGCGCATGCTGCTTCAAAGCACTCGCAGAGGATGTGGGAGCGTGGTGATAGGTTCGGAATATTGATAGATGCAGTGTCATTCGCATGTATAGCCATGCTACAAATACGAAACACTCGCGGGCTGGGCGTGGTTTATTCACAGGAGCAGGCTTGAGTCTGGAGGGATCGATGATCTAATCCTGGATCCCCCTCATCCCCGCAACAGGAGGGTGATCCTGATGTGTACCCTGACTTCGGACACCCTCCTCGGAGCGGAGGGATTCTAGACACTCGAAGGCCTTTCAAGTCTCCAGTACCCCAACACTGGGCTCTTGCTATTGAAGGAGGGGCTGTAACTGTCAGAAACCCTAGGACATCGAAGACCCCTAAACACAAAATCTTATCTAGTTCTGCCCGAAGGCCGGGAACAAAGAGCCGTCCGCAGTTCAAATAGATTCTATTCTATTCTCTTCTACTATACTATATTCTATTCTATTCTAGTAGATTTTTATACTTGATTATTATATTATGTTATACTATATTATATTATAGTATATTGTATCATATTATATTATATTATGTCATACTATATTATATTATATGATATGATATGGTATTATATTATATTATATTATATTGTATCATATTATATTATATTATGTCATACTATATTACATTATATGATATGATATGGTATTATATTATATTATACTATACTATATTATATTGTATTATATTATATTATGAGGAGCTTTTTTCAGCCTGGGCACTGCCTCCGCCTTCGAGATGTATGACTAAGACTTGACGGCGGGAGGTCTGTTGCCAGCAGCCAGCGTCCCTTTTGCGACTACGCGGTGGCCAAGGGCAAACCATTCCTGGGAGTTCAGAATGTTTCAAAGTCCTCCAAGCTAGTGGCCGTCTCCGTGGGCTCGATGGGTTCAGCAGGTTGTGGAGGTTTCGGCTTCGCCGGGGCTTTGGCCACAGCCTTGGCATCCATTTTTGGCGCGCTCTTCTTCGGGAGCTCTGCTTTGCCTTGGGGCGCCTTGGGGGGGCTCGAGGGGCCCGGGGCCGGGGCGGCCTGGGCTGGCGGGCCGGCGAAGCTCTTTCGAATGTAGCTGAGCATGCCGGCAGGCACTGGCAGGGAGGATTCTGGTGGTGCCTTGGCTTTCGCTGGTGCTTTGATCACGGCCTTGGGCTCTGCTTTAGGTGCGGCGGCCTTGCTTCCGAGCAAGCCGGTCATGCCACCCATGACCTGCTCAGTGATGCTCTTACGAGCATCTTGTGGCTTCGGCTTCGGCATCAGGGCTTGCTTCGACATCGGCTTGGGAAGTGCATTCTTCGGCCCCGGATGCACAACCTTGGGCGGAGCTACCACACTCACTGCTGGCGGTGCCTTCACAGGTTCAGTGGCCGCAGCAGAATCTCCAGTCGCTGATACCAAGATTGCAGAAGAGACCAGCAGCCTAGCTGCTTGTCTCGTTGCCTCGTCGCGCGTAGGCCCTCTTCCCTGGGTGACGGCAATTACGACGGGATCCGTTGCATCACGCAGCTGTGCTTGCCGGAAATCCGCAAAGTGTTGCTTGCACACCTGCCGGCAAAGTTCCACGGAGTCGACCATGAATTGCTGCACCAGCGACTCCATTTTAGCCTGGAGCTCCTTCTCAACAGACTGGGACAGGCGAGACAGCGCTTCATCCATCGCGATCAGTGCTTGCACTGGGCAAGCCGACGGAAATTTGAAGCCTCTAGATTCTAGACCTGCAGCACATTTCAACATGATCAAATCTGCTGCAAGGACGCTGAAGTGTGACAAATGAGTGTGGAATTGCTGGGCCGTCTTGCCGCACTACCCTCAAGCCTCGCAAAGCCTGCAGTCGAGAGCAATCCAACGGCACCCATACTTCATAGCGCATTTTCCCCGGTGCCCCATCAGGAGAACCCCTGCAGAGGCAAAGAAGGAGCTGGGGCACCAGCTGCGCCCGGCCCGAATCCCGATTCCTGCGTTTTCGGGCTCCCCCCCCCGGGTAGTTTGGGCGTTCTTAGACGGCCGTCGAAGCTCCAAGAACACAAACTCTGAAGGACCTAGAATCAAGAAGCCTTCCTCCGATCCGCAACGAAACCCGACATGCCTGCCGCAACCCCGTGAACTCGAAAACCACGCACTTCCAAAGGCGTCCGTCCGAAAATCCCAGATTTTGGAGCTGAGGCAAGAGCCAGCCGTCGAGCAGCTGCTTCCGGATCAGTCGAGCCCCTCACATAAACACATCTTTGCCAGGATAGCGCAGTTTAGCATAGTTTAGCTTCTTTTTTCTTGTGATGCCGCCTGTCGAAAAGGTAGCATCGATTCTTCCGCGGAGGTTTGGAGCCGCGATATTCCGTGCGTTCGCCCTTCGAAGCTTCAGAGTCACTGCCCCAACGGACCAGGCCTTTGGATGACCAGAGGCGACTGCTCCGGCGTGGGTGCCTTGCTGAGTTGGGATGTCGGGAATGGGGCCCTGGAGTAGAGGCCTCGGGGTTGTTTGAAGATTGATGCTACAGACTTGGCGACCGGTAGTTTTGAGGTTCAGTGGCTGGTTGGAGTATGTTTTCGAACCTCATTTTTGGCTGCAGGGGGGCCTTATGGGGAAGGTGTGCAATACACTACACGACATCGGTTTGGAATTTGCGGCTCGTGACTTGTGGCATCTGGAGTAAGGTTTATGCGGTTCGAGGATGTAGCAGCTTGAGACTCTTGGACACGAAGCCTCTAATAAATCTAAAGTACGCATGTTAGGAGAAAACTAGCAGTGATTTCTGAATTTTGGACGGCTCAGAGATGCTCAGAGGCTACGTTGCCATGTCTACCTACGATCCCGGAGCCCCGGAGCCTGCACGCGAAGCTGATTCAGAACCCTTCGTAGGTCGTACATACAAGCACAGCATGCACCATGAAACTCACGGCGAGTCCGATACACCCGAGCATATGTTTCAGAACCCTCAAACACACAAACATGGCCATGAAGCACATGACGGGGAAACCAGAGGCCTGACTGCGTAGGACCTTGAGGCTTCTTCGAAACCAGCCCTAAACCATAAGGTCGTGGCAAGTTGATTTGCATCCTCAGGGCTGGCCTCAGACAAAGATTGGGTTCACGGATCTGGGCTAGCCGCAGACATGTTTCAAGGGCATTCAAGGGGATGGAAAGCTTCAGACTTGGAAACTGCCAATGATTCAGGACCGTGCCTCATCGTAACTAATTCGAGCTTGAATTCATTCCTTCCGCACTGGGTGGTAACAAAGAGCTTGCGCAGCTTGTCACGTATAGGATCGGATCGACTCAACGCTCACTCCGTTCACAGCGGCTCGCTCGCTTTTCCAATTCTTTTTGGCTGAAGGGGCCCAGTGGACGGAAAGCTACGGCACAGCCCCAGAAAAGGAGATGATAGCGGAACGGGAGCATTCTGGGGAACTCCACAAGCTGTGGACCCGCTGTCCCGGAACCTTCATGTGAGTTCCTCATAGTTCATCAAAGTCCTATGTTGGAGGCAAAGCACCACTAAGCTTGTTTCAGGCACATGCCGCCGGGCCCATGACGTCTGCCAAGGGAGTTATCGCCACTGTGGAGTGGACATTGGGATCCTGCAGCCAGCTGCAGAAGATACAGAGGTGCACTTTCATGATCCGCCCTGTCTGGCCCTCCTTGGTCATCACAGCATAACTCAATTGAGAACCCACTTATTCCAAGGCCGAGTGGTCCATGTCAGGTACGGAAGCTGTTTCGGTTTCAAGACAGAGCTAGCACGTCTGCGGGCCAGCGAATACAAGGGCCTGTCATGGAGATTCATCGAGCTGGGATACCGGTTCATCGGGGGCTTGAAGCCATTCAACCATGGACGAGCTTGGAAGTTTCGCTCTGTTCTTTGTTTCGTTTAACCCGTGCCTCTTTTGATTGGGTTACGCTTAAACGGAACGAGAACAGAAGCGAAAGGAAACGAATGTGGTCAGTGAGGAAGCGAACGTAAAGAGACCAAAATAAACCAAATTCAAACAGAGGGAACGAAGTGAAGCAACACACGGGTAACGAAGAGGAGCGCGTGGTCGTTCACTTCGTTACAGTTTTTTTGCGTTCTTTTTCGTGCTGTTTATCTTTCTATTCCTTTCGCTTAACTCATGCATTCGTTTCACTGCTTTAGAATTAAACGAAATGAATGGAAACAAAGCACACGAATCCGTTCCCTTTTCCTTTTTACTTTGCGCTCTATCGTTTAAACTCCGAGCTATCGCAAGTCATAGGCGCATCCTGAAGCAATCGCAATTCCGAATCCACCCGCCGTCTACGTAAGAACCTGTTCACGCGTCTACACCAAAGCAAAGCCAGTCGCTGTCCAGCAAGTAAGAGTACAGGAAGGAAGCTAGGGCTTGGGTTGGTGGCCGCCGCCACCTCGAGCGGATTGCTTTGAGTCAGCACGGATGGGTCAGGAATGATAGAACAGCAGTACGGATGATGATGCCTTAAACCAGGGGCTGTTTAGTTTGGGTCTGGTGATGCTGGCTTGGGAGGTTGAGTTGACAGCTGCAACAGGGAAAGAGCTTTGGACTGGAGCAGAAGGTGCGAAACCTGCCAGGGTCTTGAAGCTTCTCCGTGGCTTCACAGCATGCGGTGGGTTCTGCCAAGACCTGGTGATACACTATGGCACCGGAAATTTTCGCAACATCCGATTAGCTTTTTGGCACCCCATAGTTTGTGGCTCATGCTACATGGCTACACTGCACTAAGCCTCAAAAATGGAATCATCGAGGGTTTGAGATCTGGTGAAGGATAAGTACAGTGACATGTTTCCTATGGATTGATGCTCCTGGGGTCCCGGCTGCATAAGCTTCAGTTCCTGGCGACAGCTACATGCGACCCAGCTTCCAAAACTGCAGTACAGCGGCCCATCTACCCATGAGAGTCTGTGGAGGTTCGCTTCAGGTTTGAAGCCCGTTGCCCTTTGGTCATCTGTCTTTGCTTTCTTTTGAGACTCGGAGCTCGCACGGACGAGAACGGCACGCTCGTTCTGCGACTTGCGCTGCAAGTTTTGAATCGCACTGGCTGGAAGCAACAACTCGAGGTCTCGCTGCCAGAACTCTTCGTGATCGTACGCTGTGGCTTTGAAGTTGCACTGTGAGCTGTGTTCCCAAGTTGCCAAGGCGTCTTGGACCGAAGTGCAGCACTGCGTCCGCCGCTCCCACGTCGGCTGAGCACATGCTCTAGACTCTAGCAATCTCTGCGTCTCTGGTTTCCGGCAACAGGCCCTCAGTGCTCCTTTGCGAATTTGCCAACTTGCTGAGGCACCGTCCCTAAAAATCAGCAAAAACTGCCTGTAGCACTTTCGAGCACCTTGATAGCAGGGGTCCTGAATCATGGCCGCCTGCCGAAGCTCATCAACAAGAGCCGGCACCTTGGTGCGTCGCAGGGCTCATTCGATGAATGGGGTCTTGCAATCTCTGAGATTGCAGAGCACAGGTGAGGTGCTTTGCAGCTGGACCCGGTAGGACCGCTGCTGTAAGGCCTCAAGCTTTTAAGTGTCCCGTTGAGGTGTCGGCACCGTGCAACTCGCAGTATTGCGGGTAGAAGTCCTGTCGAGGTCAAGGTGTCGCAGTTCCCAGTTTCTGCAGGGACTACAGTGGCCGTGCAACTGGAGTTCTGATGTTGTTCAATTGAGCAGGATGCTGCATAGGTTGGACATCACTCTTGGGTAGGACCACCTCCAGTCACAACTTATTGCAACATGCGACACGTCCACTGTACACATTACCCGAATGGAGACCCGGGTGAAGAGTGCGAGTCAAAGTGAACCGTCGAAGCAGTAGGATGAAAACTGTTGCATCCACAGGTCAACTCGACGCCTCCGCGGCCGATTCGAGGCTAACGTTTGTGTGCTCTTCGAGGAACTTCACATAGGACCTGCTGTTGCGTGGGTCAACATGCATCGGATCCGACTCTAGTCCCCATGTCTCCGGGCATCGGAGCATTCCCTGATCCCGGGATTCCGATGCAGCCCTCTCAGAAGACTGTGGATCCTGGGATTCTGATCGCTAGAATTGGAGATATTCCATGGCCCTGCGAGCCGGGGCCATGGCTCGAAGGTTCGCTCCCGAGAGTTGCATGCCAACGGCTTGCCCTTCTTCCCCGCGAGGAACAGCCTCAAAGGGGCACTTCCATGTACGGTACAGGACCATGAAGCCGCAGTAATCTCGACCACGGGCGATGATCATGATGATAATGCGGAGAAGACGAGGACGACGACGATGACGAGGGTCGTGCCGCTACTTATGAGTTGCTGATGGAAATCATTATGATTCTGATGATTGTGATGATCATGCTTCCTGCCCGGTCGAAAACGATTCGGCGTCAAAGAACACACAGACTGAAGCCGAGCATGGCCTTCTTTTACATGCCGCTGTCACCACCGCATGTGGTTCATTAACAGGCTGGTCTGTCAAGACGAAGAGGCAGAACTCCAGGCATCCGAAGGTACGGGAAGAGCTTCTGCCATGCCAATTTCACTCGAGCTCCCACCGAGAAAAAGCGGCAGCATTGCTACATCCAGCCCCGTGTGCTTTTGCAAGCCTGAAGCGAAGTTTTTGCCGAGTATGCATACCTTGTCTTGCAGCAGTTTTGGCAGGAAGGGCCTGATCAGTCCGTAAAAGGTGGCAAGGAAGGCAGGCGCACGCACCACCGTGACAGAGGCAGTAACCTCGGGGAAGTAGGATTTGCCCAGGCTGATGATCCTCCGCAGGATCGGAATATAGCGCGCATTGTCGAAGCCAAAGCCATCGCAGTCTATGATGAGACGTGCGCGAACCAGCTCGCCTTTTCTCAAGGATGCTGCCCGTGAAGCTTGCAGCGCATCCTGTTGTCACATGTTTTCACGGATCAGGATGCAATAATGTTCTGGTGATGGTTGCGAGTTCCTGAACTTAACAGCTGCTACCGATACCGCGAAAACGACGACGGCGACTACGACTACGACGAAAACAAAGGCTGCCTCCGCCTGCTCCACTACACTCGTAGACCCTAGACTCTTTACTCCTGCTCGAACTCCTTGTCCTCCTACTCCTCCTACCACCACTGCCACACTACCATACAGAAAACTCCTACTGCCACGACAACTACCACCACAACTGCCACTGCTACTCCTACTGCTACTCCTACTACTAAGCTGTCTGAATTGTTTACTGTTTTTTGCACCCTCACTCACCCAATCACTCACTCAAAGGAGCTCAGACTGTGCAGTCCTCTCCCTTCTGAAAGCCTGGCAAACTACAAGAAACTGTTCCCGAGAAACGAGTGAGAACACCACTGTAAACTGCAACCCAAAATTCGCGGGCGTCCTCCAGGTGAACGACGAAGGCTTGGATCATTAGATCGACCATGTCTTCTCGCACTATCCCCTTGTAGTCTGCGCTGCCAGCCCGCCATACCAAGATGGGCTCGTCTGCCTTTTGCGTGCAGATTCGACCGAAGAATGCATGGCGCATGGCCAGCTGAGACTGAGGGGTGCGTGGAGCGCACACCCAGGTCCAAGTGGCAGGGTCTGTGGCACGGCCGGAGTCCGGTTTGTAATGTCCGGGCTCGCCGTAAGCATCCATCACTAGCGGGATGGAGAAACTGGAACGCCATGCCAGGGTGGCATTGTACATGCCAGCGGCTGCTTCCACGTCGCGGCCGCGGGCCCTGGTAGCAAGAATGACAACTCTCATAACCAAAACCAGAAACCATCAAAGGTGCCTGACCGGTCAAGATCAGGGTTCTCTCCCTCCCCCTCCCCTCCTCTCGCCCCAAGCACTAATCCTGAGTCGCCTGTAGAACCGGAGCAGCGTGAGTGGGTCTGCGAGTGGCTCTGGGCCTTCCGCCGCTACTGCCTCAAACTCCGGTCCGACGGCTGTGGCTTCTGGCTTTTCTGTGCACGGCATTAAAGCTTTTGAGGTTCTGAAGGTTGGAGTTGCAAGATTCTAGGAGTTTTGGATAGGCATTTCGGCTCAGTATCGGGTCCGGTCTTACAGCCTCATCCATCGGAAAGGCACAAACGAGAATGTAGCCTACTCACCACACCAATGCGGGCCAAATAGGTTGCCCCCTTTTTTAAGACGTGATAGAACTTTTCAAGAGGTCGGAAGGCCCCCGAAACCCTGAACCCCATTGGAGGCCCTTTGTCATCAGGAAGAGCCTGGGCTCCAACCAATTTTTGTCAAGGCCTCAAGTCCCAAAGTGGCAAGCAGCGACTCCAAAATGCCTAGAACGCTGAACCAGCAAGAACTCAAACTATAAATTCTCGCAGTATTGTCCATGTTACATGGGAAGTTTAGGATCCTAAACCCTACAGAAAAAACCGCAAGACCCTCAACCTTCACATCATTGTCGGAGATTTGTGGGGCGGGTCCCTCCTCGGCCAAAGCAGCCACTCCTGCCGCCTCGCTCGTCGGAACACCCAGATCTACCAGTCCTTGTGGCTCTGTGCGGTCTGTCATGGATGGGCAGGGTTGACAATCTATGCCCGCAAAAACAGGAATGTTGTTCCTTCGGTTCCGCGGTTCCAGTGATTGCCAACCACTACAAGGGCACGGTGCACATCAAGTCGAAAAACCAAGCTCATGGTTTGGATGCTGTCTGATTCTGGCCCCATTCCCTACTGTCACACACACACACACACCCACCCACCCTTCATCCACCCAAACGGCCACGCCGCGTTTCTGCCCCTCGCCGCCAGGCGCTGAGAAGCCTCCGAAGTCCTTGCGCGGCGGGCTCTTCCAGGTGGCACATCGCAAGTCAGCTCCCGGAACACGATTACAATCGGGCTCAGGAGATCTCAACAAGACACGCCGGAAAAGTTGCATCTTCAGCAGCTAAAAGCTTCACACCTGGACGCACGCACTTACGAAAGGCCTTTGCGAAGTGCACAATCAGCGCGGCAGGAAGCCAATGTAGCCAACGCCACCATCGCCGGTGACAAGGCCATCTCATCTTATGTCTCATGCTACAAGGCAAAGACATGTGCGTGTGTGTGTGTGCGCGCTGTGTGTGGCTGCACTGAGTAATGCATAAAGTCAGGCAGGCATCTATAGAGTCTAGACAAGTTGCAGCCAGCAAACGGTTGCGGCCAAGCTTGGGTCTCGGCCTCTTACTCCTCTCTTGCTGCAGTTTTCACCATGTCATCGACCACCAGAGCTGAACCACTTGCAGAGACATAGCATGCGACGAGTAGCATGAACATCATTACAAGGCTCGTCGCCACAATTCGACTAGCTGCCGAGAGCTTCGCTTGACGTTCGGTATGAAGGACTCTGGGAAGAAGCGGTTGGGCCTCAGTTTCATGCATATGAACCAAGCGGTGTAGACAGTCTGGAAGACAGATCTCCAAAGCCATGACATGCTTAAGACTGTGGCACATCGTTCTCGTCGGAGTCCATCATAGCAATCCGGATGTTGCTTGACCCCTGTGCGAGCTCCACTGGCACTTTCCGTCTAGCTGGCCAGAAACCCTCCAAGAATGCCAATCGTGTGATGATGGACACTTGCACGAAAAACTTGCAAGGAATAATAGTGCCGTCGTGGCATAGACGCAGCAGCGGGTAGAAGTAGTACCAAAAAGTGGGAGTGGGAAAATCGTCGTCGCCGCTTGTGGCGGTCGTCGTCGTTCCGTCGTCGTCGTCGCCGCGTCGTCGCCGCTTGCGTCATTGTTCTGCCGTGGTCTTCGACGCAGCACGTAGGAGGATCCCCTCATTGGCATGGAGCCTACTCAAATCCACATACAAGTCAACATCACCACCATCATCAACATCATCAGCATCACCAACAGCACCACCATCACCAAATCATAATCATCTCCTTCCTCATCACAATTACCTTCAAGATCGTCGCCCTCGTCATCGCCGTTATCGTCTTCACCAGCTGCAACACTACCGTCATCATCCGCAGCAAAACCACTCCAAGTCATTTTACAACCGAGAGCACACCAACAATGATCCTAGGAAGCAGTAGCTAATCAATGTGTTGCGGTTGCTCCTTCAGCATCTTCGCCAGCTTTCTCCAGTGTGGCTTGACCTCTTGGCCTCGAAGTAGAAGCGAAGAACCCTAAATCGTGCCAGGCCCGGGCCAAGAAGTGAACTTAATAACGCTATGCAACTTCACCAACAACAACAACTGGAAGCAATATTTTAGTAGCGAGGTACTGACTAATCATGCAGTACAACATGCCACGAAAGCCTTCCTCAACTAGTTGTCGGAGCTCGAAGGGGCACAGATTTGAAGTGAGTCTGGATTGGAAGTTTGATCCTGCTCCATGATGCATGTTGCGCACAGGATGAGAGATACTTCTGGGATCGAGCACGGAGCCACTTCGCTCGAACTTCGCGCATGTTGCACAAGGTCTTTTCGGAGTTTGGTCCCATGCTGGAGTTGTTTCAGAAAAGCTCCAGGGACCCCGGGTCTCAGGCTGCTTTGCCACGACGGCCTTGCATCCCAGCCCTAATTTAGGCAACACTGAAAACATCGCTATCTTTGGTAAACGGAGACTCTGGAATACTTGCAGGCTCCGGGCCAAATCATCCGACACAAAAGCTACCGCTAAGTGGTACAGCTTCATCCTGCATTCAAATCACTCAGGTCCTGAGCATCTTGTGAAGAATTAGGTACGTCGCGGGTTCAGGAATCAGGAGCCGGTGATCAAAAGAGGACAAGCTCAACCGCTGTGTGCGGGCGGCAAAGGATTGTTCTTCAGACTGCGAGTAGCGGATGACTTACGCCTTACCTTCGTTCTCATCATGCTTTAGCCTCCCCTCGAGCCCTTAACCCTCAACCACAGCTAAAGGAAGACGCAGCCAGGCGCCGAGCAGGCTTCGCACCAGGGCGCATAAATGAGCACGAAGACGTGCCTCCGTAAAAACCGTGGCGATACAAGTCGAGCAAAGAAGCTATAGGGTTTAGGGTCAGTATAGGGGCCCTCATACTTAGAATAAGCTTTCCGAGCAAAGAAGCTTAGGTTTAGGGTTTAGGGTTTGGTGTGATCTGAACTCGGATGAAGATTTTGAGCTCTTGCAGCCCTGGATGTGCCTGGTGCTCAGTTGGAGGCGTTCGGGAACTGGTGCTCGTGTCATGAATCTCCGCAACCTAGTCCCTGAGTTCCCTGCTCATTCTGCAGTTACCAGCCGGGAAGTTTCTGTGTACAACGAATACACCCCAATGACAAGAAGTGTAACTTCAGAACCATACGACTAAGACCAAAAGTTGTGATAACCCATAAGAGTCGCAACAAGAAGAACCGCCTTTTCAGACACTGAGGCTAGGGCTCCTTAGACTCCAGCACGAGGTCTTTGAAGGAATCGCCCACCAAGACCTTTGCCGGAGGTCACCCGACGAAACTTTCACCAAGTACTGTAAGTCAACTAAGCATATTTCCATCATTTCCATCACTTAGACACCCATAGCCGGTGCAATCCCGGGACTCCGCGCCGTGAGACCCTCGTGCCGCGGATCCGCGTCGTTGGGAGGCCTGCGCAAAACTCTTTGCTAGCTCAGCTCATATTTCAGCAAAGCCCCGAACATGAACCCGGTTCTCGGTGAGCCGACCCCCCTTCCCCCTGTCGCCGGGTCCAAACATGTCGAATCCCTCTGACTGCGCGCACCACTTCTCCCCCATGACGGCTCCAACACCATCAACTGTCACCAGGATCTCGTCCCAAACACACACCCGATCATTGTGACAGTGGACACTTTCCAACCACGACTCACACATGAGGATGTTAAGAATGCAACTGTCACGAGGATCGCGTTCCTGACCGGCCCAGTTCCTGTGACCGTTGCAAGAAAGGAAGACACCAACACCCCCAAGCCCGAACTACACCACACCGCAGTCCAAGCAGACCCAAACCCGAACCACATCACACCCCAGGGGGAGGGAAGGCACCCCAAGCAAACAGAAAACCTGAACCACGTCACACCATAGGGCGGGGCAGCAAGCACGGGCAAGCAAATCCCGCACTGAAAGACTGATGCTCATGAGGATGATGATGATGATGATAACGACGATGATGATAATCGCAGAGGAACTCAAACCTCGAACCACACCACACCACAGGGGGAGCCACTCCAACACAAACCCCCAAATACGGCACAGCACGGCGGGGGGCACGCCAAGGGGGGGCGGCCGCACCGGGATCATGTATCCAAAAAAGCCCCAAAGCCGGCCTTGCCGCACTCTTCTGCCGGGCTGTGTGGCCTAAGCTCGGGAGGTCGAAGTGGTCGGGATTATGAGGTTTGGGGTTAAAGAACTTGGGAATTTACGGGGCTCGCGGTGTAAGAGGGATACATTTAAGGCTAAGGAGCTATGATGCGAGAGTCCGAAATTTTGGCATTTGGCACCTTTTCGGTCGCCTTCCTGGGTCTTCTGAACAACCGACAATCATGTTACAACCGGTGCTGACCTTTTGGCACCTCGGGCAGTTGGCTCCTCGCACAACCTGTCTTCATTGTCACAGCCAGCATTCGACGCTTCTTTCGAGCAGAATGCAACCCCCATCTCTGTGCAATTGCCTCTGGCTCCACAGCGGGCAGCCTCTGCTGCACAAACGCATCTTGAGTTCGGAACGTTTGCCTTGTCCAGTAAATTGACACAGTTTACAAAACAACCGCCGCAAACTCCGCGCTCACCATCAGGCCCGAAACTCACATCACAATTGCTCATGCGGTGTTCGCGCCCACACGCGTCCATAGGCAGAAAGCCGTCCGGATATGATATCTTCCGCTTACTGCAGCTCTTTGAACCGAATGCTTGCAAGGCCTCACCAAGGTCGCTGGAACTGTCTGGAATCAGTGAACCGGACGGGCAGGAAACCGGACTGCTGAAAAAAGCAGTCATCACATCCGTGAGACAATAATCGCTAGAGACACAATGCTTTCCAGTTTGAAGCTCCACTTGTGCTTTGCAAGTTGGCAAAGCTTCAAAGGTGGCGCGAGCAGATCGCAAGGGAGTCTGCCCATCCAAGTCGCCATTGGTCACGAGAACTGTGACATTGCTCCAAGGATGACCGTTGCTATGGACAAGCGCAGAATTCTCGCGATAGCCGTACTTATTGAACACGTCTTGATAGCGCGTCATCAACGTCACGAAGTCCGGTGCCCAGAAGACGTACTCGTCGAAGTAGCGTCGCCATGATTCCAAGCTGCAGCTCCCATGCTGCGCAACCTCCAAGCCCCACGAGTGTAGCTCAGGAGGTCCTTTCCTTGGTTTAAGCAGGCCATGTAAGACATCGTGAGGCTTTTCTTGGTGCTACTTGCATCTAGTCGTTTGCTTGTTCTTCTGTACAACTAAGATCCCTTCCACATGTCACCGAAGCTGACGACATGGTGAAGAATCGCTGAAAAGGAGGATGGATAGGTCTCAAAATACTTTTCTGCAAGCTCAACACCGTCGTCGATTGAGTCGGCAACTGCCCAGAAATCACTTGGAATGGTCGTACGAGTCGCATCTTTTATACATCGCCGCAAGGTGAGAACCATCCGGACGAATGCTTGCATTTCGGAAGACCCCCTCGTAACATGGATATAGCCCATTGCACCCAGAGCCTCCTTGGCTGAGGTTTTCGCTGTCCACCCAGAACGTGCGGATGACTTCGCAAATCGCTCCCAAAGGTATTTACCACACAAACCTGCTGAACCGTCGGCAATGGCCTTGTCAATCTCCTTCACAGCCTCCCCAAACCAAACAGCAACAGAGCCAGTGGCAGGTGCGCCTAGCTTGCGACGACAATCTTCATCGCAGTACTGATCCAACAGCCGCTGCCCGGCACGATTAGCTGCCATTGCATATTGGCCAAAGTCATAGTCCCCACTGCAAACACCATCAATGCCGACATGCGAGACGATGACAGGAAACTCCTGGCCCTGCAGTTCCAGGAAGCGTCGCGCCCATACGGTTCCGTAGGAAACACCAAGGATGCCAACATCGGCTGTGCTTCCTGTTTCGGCTTGAATTGCCATGATGATGGAGGCCAGATCTCGCGCAGCATTGGCCGCAGTGAAATGCTTGGGCGCGCCAATGTCCTCTGAGATTTCGGCCAGGCAGGCATCAACAGTTTCCGTAGACACGTTGCCAAGACCTACCCATTTCATCCACGAGTTGCCCCAGGGCAAATTACCAGGCTGCTGGCGGACTTTTGGGCAATCCAACAAGGTGGACCATCCAGTACCGCGATGGTCCAGTGTATAACTAACCTTTCCAGGAATTCCATCGTAACCAAACTTATATAGCAAGGGATGCGAAGGCGCACCGGGGCCTCCTTGCATAAACCAGAGCTGGCCGTCGTCTGCGGTGGCAGAACGAGAGCGTTTCACCGTCACGGTGATGCTGCCACCGGCCGGTCCCTGGCTATAGTCTAGTGGCACCCGGTACCTGCGGCACATTTCGCTTGAAAGACGTCTGGGTGGAGAGGAGGCTTTCCAACCGGCTCCCAAACCAAACTCAGTTCTTGCCTCCGACATGGGGCAACTGCCCCAGTCGGCGACTGGTTGCGCAAGGCCCAGGGTGATCACAGGTACCGGTACTGAGGAGTACGGCAAGTCCTGGCAAATTTCGTCGCGATCTGGAGAAGGCGGCGGTGGAGGCGGGTCGTCACCGGAGCTTCGTCCGATAAGGGAAACAATTAGGAAGGCGCTGAAACCCAGACTAACGATGACGACACTCACGGCTATTGCAACCTTGATCGGCGTCCCCGCCCTTGGCTCGGCCCTCACGGCTCTTGCAGCCTCTTCGACTTGAAAAGACTCCATAGCATGGTGCGGCCACTATGCCGCTGGCTTGAGAGGTCTGCTTTCGACACTTTTCTAAGCCGGGAGCAAAACACCGCCCAGCGTGTTTTCACGGCTTTCATCCTCAAGCACTATCACTCTGATCATGGTGCGGATCCCCGTCAGTATTATTACGTTGCTAATTAAATGACCATCCCCGACGAGTCTGCCAGATTTGCTACTGCAAGCAATGTTCCAGTCAACATCACTCTTATTGTTGTTGTTGTTGTTGTTGTTGTTGTTGCTGTTGTTGTTGTTGTTGTCGTTGTTGTTGTTGTTGCTGTTGCTGTTGCTGTTGCAGTTGCAGTTGTTGTTGTTGTTGTTGCTGTTGCTGCGGCTGGTCTTGTTGCTACTGTTGCTGATGCTGTTGCCATCGCTGTCGCCGTTGCTGTGGAAGTCGTGGTAGTCGTGGTCGCCGCCGTGTTGATGATGTTGAGGATGCTGGTGATGTTGTTGATGCTATTATTGTTGTTGTTGTTGCTGCTGCTGCTGCTGTTGCTGTTGCTGTTGCTGTTGCTGTTGCTGCTGCTGTTGTTGTTGTTGTTGTTTCGGTGGTGGTTGTGGTTGTGGTGGTTGTTGTTGTGGTGGTTCTGATTGCTGCTATTGTTGCTGCTGCTGTTGTTGGTGCTGCTCTTCTTGTTATTGCTACCATGTGGTGGTGGTAGTTGTGGTTGTTGTTGTTGTTGTTGCTTTTGTTGATGTAGCGGCTTCAAGACGAGACGGAATGACACTTATTTCAGTCGAGCTACTTTGCATCCTTATATATCACTGCTACATGCTTTCTGCCTCTTCTTCAAGATTGTATCCTTAGATTATTCTTCTGATGCTCACAAACATTGCAGCTCCCAAATCCTGAAGGACACACTGAGTAATCTACTGGGGCTTACTAAGGCCCGAAACTCCTCACCAGCGAAACAAGCTGCTAATGTCTATTGGCCTTTGCTGGGGCTCGCCAGCGCCTGCTGAGCACTGCTGTTTCAGCTGCGTTTCTCGTGGCAAACTCGGTTTGGCATACCCCCTTCCCTAAATCATTCCCAAAGTTCGAAACCCTCAGAACTACAAAGCCCAAACGTCGTAAACTCGAAGCCCCAAACTCCTTACTAACCGCCGAAAGTCCTCTAGTGTAAAAAACCACAAACCGGGGCCTGTGACAATATAAGGGGTCCGAATAATTACTAATGATGTTCCCCGTTGGTCTGCATATTAGTAAACGATTACACACCCGAAATACTTCTTACGGCCCCTATATTAAGCTCGGCCCCTGGCAGCTCCAGCAGATTCGGACGTCTGCAGGGCTTCTAGCGCCACACGTCCGGCAGCCCCAGACCTAGTTGCATTTCATCGCCAGTACTATAAAAACCCTGACGATTGCCTTTGCCACAGGTATTATTGCTGCTGGCTGTTTCTTGCGTTTTTGTTGCGGAGCTCTTTTTCGTTCGACCGCCTAAGCTTGCGGAACACTTGGGTCAGAAAGAGCATCTAAAACCCGGAAGCTCTTCCAGCCGAGCCCGTTTTAGGGCCTGCAACCTCGGAGAATGATCGGGTGTAGTCATAGGTGAAAGTCAAATCGGCGCTTGCGTTGAAGGGGGTGCCGCGACGGGATGTCTGTGTCAGCGCACGTTTCAGGGTCTGTTCCCACAATATCCGCCGAGGCTTCGGCGTCTAGATTCTAGTACCTTCCCAGACTTGTGGTTTGCGGGAAGAGAAGGCCGTTAACTGAGCAATTCGCAGGCGCAGCTTCTCCACACCCGCCGGCCCTCTTGAAATTCGCCGTCCCGCAAGCTTCACACCAGACTCGGCCAGCTGCTCCCTTTGGCAATTGCTGTCCCCACACCTGCAGCGACTAAGTGACTGGGGCAAGGGCATACTGGGGGATTCACTGGGGTTCGGGCTGTTGCGACTAAAGCACAGCAGTGGCTATGGCTGTCATGACCGCATGCCCCACCTCCGCCACCGACAGAAACTTCCTGGGCAGAACGGCCCGTACTTGTCTTCTGCTGTCGAATGCGAAAGCAGCACTTGGAAAGACCCGGCTGAGAATTCTATTGTAGATTTCAATCCCGTAGTAAACAACTGTCGTCAATCTGGTACTGCACTAACAGAATCTAAGATCTCGACGACTCCATCCGCATCTGCCGCAGGTGGCCACCAAGCCTCCACTCCCGCTCCACCAGCTTTCCCGCCTCAGCAGGTGCCAAAGCCCTAAACCCTCCACCCTAAACCCCTAAACCCCTAAACCCCTAAACCCTATAAACCCTAATCCCTAAACCCCTAAACCCAAAAAGAGCCCTTAGGCGCTTAGCCCTTGTTATAAGGAGGCGTGAGACGACGCTCCTGAGGCAAGCTGCCCGGCGACGCCCGAAGAGCACCACGCCTTCAGTGGGATCGATGCCTCAGAAAATCATATATCATATATATAATATATGATATATAATATATCTATATATATATATATATATATTATATATATATATAATATTTATAATATATAAAATATAATATCAACCAAGCTGAGCCAAAACCTGCGAACGTCACCCCAAGATAACACTCGGTCACCGGCTGAAGAGGCCTTCAGGCGCGAAAAGGCTCGGATCTCTGGCCTCAGGCGTCTCAGACAAAGCTCTGGCCAGCCATGCCTGTATCTGTGCATGGGCCGATGCTATGGCGATTTCCAGTCTGTACAAACATGGCTGCTGATGGTGATGACTGGAAAGAACCACGACCGGGAAGTCTAGAGATATTGCGACATCACGCTTCGTGTATCACAGTTTGGTCAGTTCAGCCGACGTGAATGTGCATATGACAAATCTTTCGCCGCAAAGCTGCCAGCCGGAAGCCGCGAGTCAAAAAAGCTCCCGGCAACCAAGTGGTGCTCACCATCAAGGATGATCTGCATCTCCTCATGCAAGGCTGGGCTTTGTGGAAGTTGACTTTTGCCTCCTTATGCGTGATACAGGCCCAAAGGGCTATGAAAACAAGATCATGCTAGATGGTCGGCAAAGCAGCTCATGCGGAAAGGTTTTGTGGCATGCTAAAGTCCTCGAATGCTCCTGGAAGAGCCATCTAAACAGAAGCCATATCCTGTGGCCCCAAGCTTCCCTTAAACTCCTGCCGCTTCTCCAAATCGACGCAGATCGTGGCAACATGCCACGTGGACGGCTGCACCTTGGCATGTCAGGATTTATGCATGATCTGGGGCTTGCATCTGGAGGCTCATTGCCCAGGGCAGCGGCCACGTTTCCGCAGGTGTTGGAGAATTGCTCATCCTTGCTTGCAGACCGTGGTGGATTCGAAAAAACGAGTACCCCGGATTTTTTGGAGATTCTGTCATGTGTATACAATGATGTACCAAAATCTACTGCAGCAGTAGACTTTAATATACGGGGATGTACCACAATGTACCATAATATAACATCATATTATACTACAGTTTACTACAGCTTACTATAATCTACGATTCGCTCGCATCCTCGCCTCCTCGGCGTTGGAGTCCGAGTCGGAGTCCGACTCTTCACCTGCACTGCACATGGTCTATGATAGTAAGACATGGTATACTGATAGTATACTGTAGTATTTTATAGTCACACGCTTATAGTAGATGCTGTATTGTCACATCTTCTGGTACAATTACTGAGTATAGTGCAGTATATCATGATAGATTTCCAAATATTATACTGTGCAGTGCACCTCCCAAACCGCCAAACCGCCCATGGTCGGCTTTCTGTCGGCGCCTCCCATCCACTTCTGCGGCGGCTCTAAGCGGACACCTGGCAGTCAGGAACCAGGAAGCACGGTTTGGTCAATGCTTCTGTGAGGGGACGCCAGGACTCAGCTTTGACCCTCAACCATGACTTATCTTGACCTCCCTCAACCCCCCGAGAATGAACGCCCAGCTTGCGTCAGCTTCCGGGGCGCCCACGCGTTCCGCTCCAGCCCGTGATGGCCAGCTTCACCTCCTCGTCGTAAGGCAGCTCCAAGGTCTTCACCTGCAGAGTTTTTACATTGGGGATTAAGGCTTTAACACTTTAAGGACCTTAACCCTATGCTTCCAAGGACCTTATAGTTAGGGCCCTAGACCCCTTAAGGACCCAATAATAAGGTCCCTGGAAGCATAGGGTTACACAAGCCAACCCAGGGAACCGCGTTCCAAGTTGCAGCTCGAAATCTGCGGGCTTGGGACAGGGATTCAGTGCTGCAGTAATAAAGCTTGAGCTGTTGCAGGAGGGTTGGTGGTCTGTTTCGAATTTGCTTGAGTGGGGCTTGTCATCCCACGCAAGAGCTTGACTGTGCCTTGGAAGCTGACGTTTCAAGCAAGGCACGGCGTCGAGCCTAAACGGCCTGATCGCAGCTGCAATCCTGAATCCTGAGACCTCATACTCAGAGTCTTGGCAAACTCAGCAGAAGCCATTTGTAGAAGCTACAACTTCCAGGCAGTCTCTGCGCCTCCTGCAGGTTGTCCTTCTTGTTCCCCACGTGGAAGGACACCTTTTCGGGGTCCGGCTCCAAAAATGACTACGCAATGCAGAGAGCTCGGTCCGCTATGGTGGCCGAGGCTGTTCTCCTGTTCTGTTTCGATAAGTTTTACCGGAAATCTGGTATAAGACTTTGGGGCATGCTCTGCTACTGGGGCTTGTACAAGAACGGTATTGCTAAGTCTTTAAGCTCCTCAGGTGGGCTCTTGGCTTCAAGAATGCGGACACCTGGTCTATTCCCCCATGCTAAGACGCGACCCACCTACCGACCTACCTACCTACCTACCTACCTACCTACCTACCTACCAACCTACCTGCCTATTGAAGTCTCAAGTCTCAAGCTTGCACCTCGACCGACCGGTTTGAAGCCGAACCATTTACGAACCAGCGGCTGGGCTGTAAGACTTGTCTCTCAGGCCTCATGCCCTCGCCCTGAACCCGAACCTAATGACCGTAACTCCTATAAGCTTCAAGCCCAATCGGTGCACATTTTTCGTCAGTGGCCTTCTTGCGGTCAACATCACAGATGATCTCAACGAACTTCTGGTAGATGGGCCAAGTTGGCCTAGGCTCAGCTTTGAGGGGATGGGGTTGTGGACGACATTGCACTCAAACAACAGTAAGAATGTTGCTGCTAGTAGTGGTAATAGTGGCGGCCGTTGTCGTCGTCGTCCTACGTAGTAGCAGCAGCTTAGACTCGTGCGTAAACCAGCAAGCAGGTGATTGAGTTGGTCTTATACAAAGTACGTGGTAGTACTCAAGAAAAGGATAGTAAGATTGATAATCAAGAGTTGCTGCTTGTCAACTTGCAATGCTGCTCGTCAGTGTTGGGTCACTCCCCCCCCCCCCCCCCCACCACTTCTAATACTCACGAGAATGATGCAGTGGCATTGATGTGTTGCTCAATGCCCTGAGGCGGTACAAGCTGCATCCGAATGGCAGTGCCAACGAGAATGTCAACGAAATTCCGACATGACAGTCATGACAGGTCCTGAAACTCTTCCTGACTTTGGCGATGGTGATGTATGATGAGGGCGATTATGATGATCATGATGACGATACTTGTCCACGTTGCTGCTGGTGCTCGTGCTCGTGTTCCTATGTACTACTCTGTGCTACCATGTGCCAGAACTAGTGTTGAGGTAACTTCGTCTCATGCCACTGTGCCATGAGCCAGGCTCTCTGAGAACGACGCTTCTGCTCGCCT